TTCTTAATAGACTATAAAATAATGTGTGTTCAAGGCTAAGAGTCCTTATGTGTACGAAGATGCATGCACGCACATTTTTATGTGTTTGTATAAAATAGGTATGAATGTGTGCATAAATGTTTAAAAATAGATCTCCGTAGAATTGAGATCCATGAAATTATGCTTCCACATTAACCCCTAATTTATCAAATATTACAGTCATTACTTACAGCCTATCAAAATCCACCGCTGAACATGGACTCCCCCCCCCCATCGATTGCTTCTTCTCGGGATTCACAATCCTTTTGCAAAGTGTCCTTTCTTCTTGCAAATGTTGCATGAGTGTTTTTTCTTGCAATACTCAATGTATTTCTGACACGGTTTTCCTCTGCACTCCTTGATCACGTGACCTTTCTTTCCACATTTGTAACATACTAGCGCTGACTTATCCTGCTTGCTGTTTGACGACTGTCCCTGTTTCTCACGTCTTGCCATGAGAGCGTTGTTGATGCTGCCCTCTGCATTTGTCGCCATTTTCTTAAGTTGCTCGTCCTCAAGTCTCAGACGTTCGATGAGAGTTTCGATGTTCTTTGTTGGTCCGGTCACATTGTTCCAGGATGTTTTGAAATGCGCCAATTTTGGCGGTAGCACACTCAATATTCTTGTCATGATCCAACTTTCCCTCATTGGATCATTCTCAGTTGACACTTCTTCAGCCAAGTCCAAAATCTCCATACAATTCTCTACTGCTGACCTGTTTTTATTATACTCAATGGTAAAGAATTTAATTCGGGAAGTTTTTAAAGTTACATCAGTCTTTGTACTATATAAACTAGTTAATTTATCGATCATATCTTTGGCAAATTGTAGAACAATTTGCAATATTATTCGCAATCTTACTGTTTACATTTAAACCTATCAACGTTTGAGCTTCGACATATTTCTTTATCCAAGCTGAAACGTTTGCTTCTGACGCAGCACCAGCTGGTCTGGGCTTTGCACCTGTTACAATTTCGTACAAGTCGTTATTCTTAAGTGCTAGGTTTAATTTAAATCGCCATAAAAATGAAATTGACATTTCCCTGACTATCTTCACTTTGCTTTGAATTTTATAATTTAACTGACTTCTGGCAATTTTTAAATAAACAAAATGAATTTATAAACTTTCGTGGCAATTTTCTAACTTAAAGCTACTTAATGATTTCTTATATTTACGCGAACACTACACATTGAAATAATACTAGTTTTTACGGAATTAATCGCGTATATTTAACTTTTTAAATACCCGACGTTTCGAACGCTTTACAGCACTCATGGTCACGGGCAGGACTGAAATGTTCAATGTCCATATGTCATAGTTAAACGTGGTTACCATAGATTAAAATTTAACTCTTGTTCCGATCTATGCAGCATGAACTTATGGTATCTTGAGGTCTTGCAGTTGTATGCTTGGGTTGGGATTTAATTTTATTTATTATAGGATCCCAAGCAGATGGTAGCACCCAGCCATCTTCTCCTCTAACTTCAACCTTTTGCAACTCTTCTATTTCTTAGAAAAGAGTGGGAACAAAAAACTAGTGCCCATCATGAAAGAAAGAAACATCTGACTCAAACCAGCAACATACAAAAACATTAGTAGAAACTTATAAAAGAAAATACTATAGACAGTTTAACTATAACGTTCTAGCTGGTAGCGCATGGTTCAAACGTTCATTGTTAATTAGTTCGCAGTACGCAGTTGGTCCGGATTCGATCCATGCCGGCATCTATGAAATTTTAAATTGTAAAGATTCACCACGTGCCTAACGGTAAAGAAAAACATCGTGAGAAAAACTTACATTTCTTACGGACGTAATATTACGAGGACAATCGTGGTCACGCACAGGAGCATCGCAATGGACTAAACTTTTTTTATAGAATAGGAGAAGGATGACAAACGAGCGCACGTCTATCTGATGGTAAGTAGACGCTAGACAATAACATTTATCGTCGATCAAGAATCAAAATACTCATGCGTTGTATTACCTGAAGACTAAGATGAAATGCCTCGTTTCCAGTAAAAAAAGGTATCCGGTCTTCTACACTTACCATACGAAATACAGCATTATTAAGCTGCTATTTTACCCTGGTACTAATGGCTCCAAAAAACATCTCAGTAAAGAGAAAAGGCCTGAGCTCAATGCCAGGATGTACAAAGATTGTAATTTTTCTTTTTACTTACTAAAATTGTTTTGTATCATAAAATACACTAAAAATCACGATTCAATATTATTATCAGTAATATGTAGTCGCTTCGTTAGACTATGCACTACCCTATATCGTATCGTGGGTGTCGTGAGGGGCACGTACTAGGAGTGGACGATAAACATCGATGTTTTAAAAATACTCGATGTATAGTAACAATGCATCGAATCAAACCGATGTATTGTTAAGTTTTAAACATCGAGTATACATCGATGTTTTTTTTTCCATGCATCGAAAAGGCAAACAATCAACCCCCCGCCCCTCTCTCGGTTAATAACTATTTTTTTCTCTTTTTCAATTACATTATTTAGCACTCGCAAGGTGTTTCGCCAAAAGTGGTATCACTGGTTGAAAAGGCAGCCAATGATATAGAGGTCAGTGTAACCAACCTATAAAAAATATAAATGCAAATAGCCGACTGAATTGAGCCGCCACCTCTCTCTTAGTCTTACTTTCTTACTTACAGTTAGTTGCAGTCTCTGGCTTCAAAAATCATATTATTTTAATTTTTCTATTAATTAATTACCTACTCAGTTTGATTCAGAATTCATTTTAAAATTTGCTGTGTCGTGTTAGCAATAATATTTATAAATCGAAGTGTTAAACTGAACAACACGTTATATGTAATATTAATATCATAATAAGCCTGTAAACACGTTGGACAAGTAAACAAAGGTAAGTGCGTGCATCTAAATAATATATAAGTAACAATTTTCGAGATTTCCGTAAAAGCATGATTGTAAATTAAATAAAAATTCCGTAACTAATACTTTAATTGTATTTCGTGCTTAATGTCGTACCTATTTAAGTTACATTACATCGCGTGTTAGTCTTCTAGGTTAGAAATATAAAAAATATTTTCATATCAATCTGTCTAATCTAAATAATCATGTAAATGTCCAATTATTTACTTTAAAGGGAGTAATTATTTATCATAACAAATGTTTATCAAACAAGTTAATAACGAATTATATCACTAGTGATTCTATGTTACCGATATCACGTTATCGATATTTTTTTATTGAAAATACGTTCCTTTTTTATCTATTTCAGAATATAATGGCGCCTAAAAAAGAAAAAGTTTAGTCTGGAAGTTTTACGACAGAATTGATGACAATAAATCTAAATGTAAGTTATGTCAAAAAGTTATCAAGTGTACTGGAAATACAACAAACTTATTTGGGCATATTCGTAATATCCACAAGGCAGCTTACATTGAAATTGCTCCGTTTCAAAGTAGTCCTTCGGAGAAAAAAAGTATCACGCAACCAGTTCTAGAGTCAGCTGCTTCAAGTTGCAATGAGACACCTTGCATTGGTATTGTTAATGAACTTAAATCAGTTCAATCTGATTCCGAAACCGTTATTCCTTCGACGAGTAGTTCTCAAAGTACTTCAAAACCGTTGGATAGAGCTTTAGATTCTGACTCGGAAGTAATCCCTATAAAACGTCAAAAATCTATCAAAACCAGTTTTCAAGAAATCTCCTCTTATTCAGAATCCGGCATGAAAACAAGAAAACTTAACAATTGTTTGTTATATATGATTTGTAAAGATCACCAGCCTTTCTCAATAGTCGAGAATGAAGGTTTCAAAAATCTTATGAAAGCAGTTGCTCCTCAATATAAAATACCAAGTAGAACAAGTCTGAGACAATGGTTGGATAATAAATATGAGGTTGTTTCAGAAACTTTTAAAAAGAAATTGTCTTCGATAGAAGACTTAACTTTGACGACAGATATTTGGTCTGATACATTAAATATGAAAAGTTTTATAGGCGTAACTGTTCATTTTGGAATAGAAATTGAACTCATTTCAGTTACTCGCGGCGTGTACGAACTTGATGAAAGACATACGTCACAATATATTTCTGAAATGCTTTTAAAAACTTGTGCAGAATGGGGTATTAAAAAAGATAATGTGACGGCTGTTGTAACCGATAATGCTGCCAATATGGTGAAAGCTGCAGAATTGACGTTTGGTAAGAAGAAACACATTCCATGTTTGGGTCATACGTTAAATTTGGTAGCTGAAGGCACAATGGCATATACTGAGTGGCAAAAAATTGTTACTAAAATTAAAGCAATTGTGACCTGGTTCAAACAAAGTTGCGTTGCTAGTGACGAATTGCGCAAAGCTACTTCTACTGAGACTAAACTTATACAAAGCGTACCGACGCGCTGGAATAGTACTTACTACATGGTACAAAGATTTTTAGAACTGCGGAGTGTCATAAATGATATTCTTTTTCGACACGCCACCGCACCCCCAATGCTCAGCAGTTCAGAAATATCCATTGCCTCATCCGTCCTCCTGATATTGCGGCCTTTGGAGGTAGCCACAAAAGAAATTTCTGCAGATAAATATTTCACAACCAGCAAAATTATACCTTTAGTCCACTGCATATTTTCCAAAATTACTTCAGCAGGTGTCGCAGGAGAACCTGTGGCACGAGAAGTGCAAAAACTGGCTCTGCAGGAAATTACGAAAAGAATGGGTTCCATTGAACATGTAACTCCTCTTGCTATAGCAAACATTTTAGACCCACGTTTTAAAAAACTTCACTTTAACGATGCAATAGCTTGTAGCAATGCTGTATCGAAAATCAAAGACTTAATGAAGGTTCATTTGTGTCAAATTGAAGAAATCGAGTCAGACTCGGATAAGTGTGATAAAAGTGAAGAGACATTTTCATTATGGAGTGATCATTACAAACTGGTACATCGCAATTAGAAGAGTAATAAATCTGAAGATAGCTTGTCGGATGAACTTTCAGTTTATCTGACAAGTCCTGTTGGAAGACTTAACGACAATCCCCTAGAAATTTGGAAAGATTACAAAGTACAGTTTCCAATATTGCATAAAATTGCCTTCAAATATTTAACAATGGTGGGCACATCAGTGCCATCAGAGAGACTGTTTTCGCAAGCGGCGCAGGTAATGACTCAACAAAGGAATAGATTAAAGGGTAAAAGATTGGGTAAAATTTTGTTTTTACAAAGTATAGATAAAAAATATTGGGATATATATTAAAAATAAATGTAAATGTAATAAAATTATTTTAGTAGATGCTTGCTTTTTATTTCTTAACCACATACATATTTAACTCATAGAAAAGCAATCGATGTATAGAAAATATCGATGTATTTTTTGATACATCGATATTACATCGATGCAACAATACAATGCATTCAATCGAAAAAAACATCGATGTTTTTTTTTATGTCCATCACTAGCACGTACCAACCGGGACATGGGTAGCTTTTTCCAAATAACAACTATAAAAATATAACTGCCGTTGCCAACCATATTTAATGTATCAGACCAAATATCTGTCGTCAAGGTTAAGTCTTCTATCGAAGACAATTTCTTTTTAAAAGTTTCTGAAACAACCTCATATTTATTATCCAACCATCGTCTCAGACTTGTTCTACTTGGTATTTTATATTGAGGAGCAACTGCTTTCATAAGATTTTTGAAACCTTCATTCTCGACTATTGAGAAAGGCTGGTGATCTTTACAAATCATATATAACAAACAATTGTTAAGTTTTCTTGTTTTCATGCCGGATTCTGAATAAGAGGAGATTTCTTGAAAACTGGTTTTGATAGATTTTTGACGTTTTATAGGGATTACTTCCGAGTCAGAATCTAAAGCTCTATCCAACGGTTTTGAAGTACTTTGAGAACTACTCGTCGAAGGAATAACGGTTTCGGAATCAATCGGCATTGAGCTCAGGCCTTTTCTCTTTACTGAGATGTTTTTGGAGCCATTAGTACCAGGGTAAAATAGCAGCTTAATAATGCTGTATTTCGTATGGTAAGTGTAGAAGACCGGATACCTTTTTTACTGGAACGAGGCATTTCATCTTAGTCTTCAGGTAGGACAACGCATGAGTATTTTGATTCTTGATCGACGATAAATGTTATTGTCTAGCGTCTACTTACCATCGGATAGACGTGCGCTCGTTTGTCATCCTTCTCCTATTCTATAAAAAAAGTTTAGTCCATTGCGATGCTCCTGTGCGTGACCACGATTGTCCTCGTAATATTACGTCCGTAAGAAATGTAAGTTTTCTCACGATGTTTTTCTTCACCGTCAGGCACGTGGTGAATCTTTACAATTTAAAATCTCATAGATGCCGGCATGGATCGAATCCGGACCAACTGCGTACTGCGAACTAATTAACAATGAACGTTTGAACCATGCGCTACCAGCTAGAACGTTATAGTTAAACTGTCTATAGTATTTTCTTTTATAAGTTTCTATTAATGTTTTTGTATGTTGCTGGTTTGAGTCAGATGTTTCTTTCTTTCATGATGGGCACTAGTTTTTTGTTCCCACTCTTTTCTAAGAAATAGAAGAGTTGCAAAAGGTTGAAGTTGTAATAATCTCAAAAGTGTTTGTAATTGAGTTCGAGAAGTTAATAAAGCAATCCATAATAAGATATAGTTATCATGTTTAAATTTACAATATTAAAATAAAACTATAAGCTACATTTGTCATAAAATCCTACTTTACGCGGTAAAGTGCCAAAACCGCTGGCGGCATTTTGATTTTAATTCGCTGGTATCTGTTATGAGGAAAGAGTGACAAAGAAAATTTATATGGCAGATGTGAATGGCAGGGTCAGGAAGGGACGCCCTAGAAGAAAGTTTATCGACCAAATTGGCGATATTTTGAAAATGGGCCACGTTAGAAGTACCCTTAACCGACGAGCATGTATGCGTATATATATGGATGTAAAGGAGGCAAAAGAGGTATGTCAGGATCGTGTCAAATGGAAGTCCGTAGTCTCTGCCTACCCCTCTGGGTGACAGACGTGAGTGTTTATGTTTATGTATGATATCCGTTATACATTATATCTACACCTATGTGGACTAAATGCTCGCTTGCCTCAACTCCACTACACTGCGTCCTTTTTCCCACTTTCTGCCTCCCTAATGGTTATTTTATAAAAGAAGACAAATCTGTTTTCTACGAGTAAGTGCGAACATAACAATCGTTAGGTCAGTGAGCACTAAATCGGAGATCGTATCAAATGACCCGCGATGCCCGGAAATGGCTACATTAATATTGTATGTCTGTACTATTTTGAATAGTGTGCTTCATCAATGAACGAATTGTCACATTCACAAATGTATAAAAAATAAATAAAATTGAAGCGTCTGTTTGTAATTTCACACTAAAGGCTTTTTACTAAACGCACGGGAAAATATATCGGTACGTATACAAAAACCGTTTGTCTGTCTCTCTATCTGTTTGTAGCAGCTAATCTCCGAAACGGTAGGACTGAACTTGATGGGGATTTCACTGACAGATAACTGATGTTAAAAGTAGTACATAGGCTTCTTTTATTGTAAAGTTTTAGGTTTCCGCGTAAAAAAAATTAAAACCCATGAAATCTAATCGTTATAAATTCCACGCTGACAAAGTCGCGGGGAACAGCTAGTTCATACCTAATTAATAGAAATTATCGTCTTATTTTTATGTTGTACCGAATAAAGTTATACAATATAACCCTGTGGTTCCCGTTAAGTGTGTTATCAGAATCAGTATCCAAGCGTGTAGAAAATATTTTTTTTTTTCAAAAAAGCATATAAAAAAATTAATTTTAATGAAAAAAAAAAATAATTTGCAAATTGTGTGTGGTTTTATTTCCTCTAACTCACACGAGTACCGGTAATGCGGGGTCTTTGACAATCCTCTTACTCCTCGGCCAATGCAGAGATAATAAAACCACACAATTTGAAAATTATTATTTTTTTCAATTATTTTTTTTTAAATGTGTTTTTTTGAAAAAAATTTATTTCTATACGCTTGGATACTGATTCTGATAACGCAGTTAACGGGAACCACAGGGTTCCTGTTACATTTTGTATATAATCGTTGGTTTTGGTCACAGAATACAAACCATATTAAGAGGGCGACACTGAAAATTTCGGGAATCAAGGAAGTGACACAACATTACATCGTACGGAAATTTGACACATTTTTTCATACGATGGAACCAATCATTGAAGCAACCATTCCATTCGGAAGTTGGGGTCTCCAAAATGGCCGTTTTGTAGGCGTCCACAGCTTCTTCAGGTGATGAAAATCTCTGTCCACGCAATTTATTCTTTATTTTAGGGAAAGTATAGAAATCATTAGGGCTTAGGTCGGGGCTGTACGGTGGATACTCTAATAATTCTATGTTTTCTTGCTCTAAAAACTCTTTTGTTCTATGTGCGGTGTGGTGTGGTGTGGTGAGAACTCGCAATGTTGTGATGGAGGATGATGCGGCGGTTGCAGTTCTCTTTACGGAGTTCAGAAACGACCTGTGGCAATGCTAGCATACCATTCTGAATTAAGCGTTCTTTGTCCCTCAAGAGGAATAGTCGTAACATGGCCGGTTTTGGAGACAAACGTTGCCACCATTTTTTTTTTGCAACACTCCGTGAACGAACAATTTTTGTTGGCTTTAACTCATTTTCGAACACCCAAACGTGAACGTGACTGGTTTTTTGTTTCGGGCTCGTACGCATATATCCAGGATTCGTCACCTGATACGATGTTGTATACAGCATTTGAGGATCCTGCGTGGAATCTTTCGAGAGTTCTGACGCACCAAGTAACGCGAGCCGCTTTTTGCTCTTCACGGAGCGAATGCGGTATCCGCATCGGGTATCGGGAAAACAACTGTTTTACACCTAATTGTTCATGCAAGATTGTATTATTGTATTTGACTCATGCCAATGTCTAAAGTTGTCTGATTTTCGTGGTATGTCACATGTCGATCTTCCTCAATCAGCTTACGCACAGCATCAACGTTTTCTTGGGTGACTGCAGTTTTTGGACGACCTTGACAGGGATCATCACTGAGCTTGACGCGTCCACGTTGAAATTCAGCAAACCAGCGATAAATTGTGGTTTTGGATGGGGTTTCATCACTAAATGCAGAAATCATCCGGTCAACACACTGTTTTTGTGTTAAACCACTTCGAAAGTCATAATAAATCATCGCTCTTGAATTTTCTCGAGTCAATTCCATTTTCTCAACGACTAAACAAGTTTGACAAAACCTTGTGACAAGACCGAGAATCTTTTTTTAAATAAATAAATGGTATTCGATTTTTAAAACCAAGGAGTTTTCAACTAAAAAGATTTTAATATGACAGGAACAGTGGAAATATTCCATTCCCGATACTTTTAGTGCAGCCTAGTATGAATCGATTACTTGATCCTAGATTTTTATTCTTATATGCTCCTCTTCTTATGTGCCGTGTTTTATATCTTCAGTGAGTTTTTACATAAGAATATAAAAAAAAATACAAAACTTCTACTTAAGTTGACTTAAAAATGATGTCAGTTCAGTCTTAATAAGTATATAATAAAATTTGTAAAATTTTGTCGTAATTCGAACACATTTACAGTGTTATTTCTATTTTCATTATTTACCTATTTTTCCTCAATATTTTAAATGTTTACATATTCACGTATCTAAGCTCTGTTTATACTTTAACGTTATTTAATTTTTTTTATAAAATTGCGATAAAAATATAAAGTACAACGTATTCATAGAGCACCATATTAAACTAAAAATCTAACTTGTCTTGTCTGCGCTTATCACCTGCGCTCCCAGACGGCACGGCGTTTTCAAAGGATTTTTTCGTGGAAAAAAGATTTTTGACGTTATTTTAATGATCTTAGCAAGTGCTAAATTTCACAAGACAAATCAAAACAGGAATAGACCAAAACGTCTCGCGCGATACCGCGGCATGCAGGTGCTTTTCACGGCATTCCAAGGTATCCCTTGGTATGGCTCGGCAGGCCGCTGATACTTTATGTTGTTAAAACAATGTGAGTGCTAAGTAATTGAAACAATGTTTGGTTGAATTTAGTCTGTTGCGGCGGCAATCTCACCAACTCGTGCGAGAGCCCGATACACTAGCTCGTCTTGACTTGTTTGGCATGCCGCGGGATGCTAAGGATAATTCGGCATGCCGAAATATGCCTTGCCACGCCGTGCCATGCTATGCATGCATGCTACATGATTCTTAGGGTTAACTCTATATTGACAGTGATTTTAATAGGTATTAAAGTAAAAATTAAGAACAAATAAAGCTAACTACGTTCTGTTATACGGATACGGGCTAATTAGTTTTTAAAAAAAGAATTATTTAAAACACTGAAATTTAATTAAAGTATAAATGGATTATATGTCATAAATTAGTCAGAATTAAATTTAGGTCCGTAGATAACAGAGATGGAAACAGACTACCGTAGCCAAACTGCTCCACTGCCATACTTACTGAACTAAGTCAACATTATTAAGGGGCAGTGAAGCACTAAGGCTAACCAATACAGGGTATAACAGTTCGATAGTGTACTACTTCAAATAAATATGGATTACTACGACCGTACCATTAGGGCGTTTGTCCACCGCCGCCGTCACTGTCACGTCACCGAGAACGAGATGACGGCACCGAAGTAGCGGTACGTACATTTACTTTAGCCGAGTGTCCACCGCACATCGTCACCCGAGCGCCGTCATCCCGGCCGCTGAAATTGCGAGTAGATCGGCGTGACCGCTAGGACGTGGCCCGAGATTTTGACGGGTCGATGTGCCGGCAATACAAAACACAGAGATATGAGCGGACGTACCTATATCGGTCCTGTCAGTAACCAAGCAATTTTAGGCTTGGTCGTTTGATTTTGTTTGTATTATACCATTCAGAACAGTGACTAAAATTGTGGAGTGAGTCAATTTGACATCGACTATTGCTTGACCATGTCGAAAAATATATCGATATTTGACGATATGATATTCGGTCATGATGATGAATGATGATGTTATTTGTACAATAAAATAACACTTAAAAATACCTATACATATGTATAAGTATTTTTAAGTGTATCCTACAATCTGATGTCATTAAATTTATAATAATAATTTTTATAATTAAATAAAATATTGTAAATGCAAAAATTATAATTAGTATCTGTACTTAAAATATTTAAACACATAAATTGCACGAATTTTCAGATTTCCCAGTGACCCTTCTCAGAAGAGAAATTGGGTAGAAGCAGTTCATAAAGATGAAACCTGGATTCCGATGAAACACAGCGCCATAATGCAGTGTATATTTCGATACTGCTTGTTTTAATACTAATGCAAAGAATCAGAAAATGACACCAATGAACGCAGTCTCATAGGAATAAAGCCCATAAAGAGAAGGTAAAACTGATACTTCCCTCAAGTGATACCATAGCTATTTGCTAGCACTACGAACTCGAACTTAGGAAGGGTGTTCAGAATAAAAGACTAAAAAAAACATTACACAACAGACTTTCTTCTGCCGATAGTAACAGAAACATTGCTGCAACTTCCGTTGTACGAAGACATTCATTTCCATAAATTTGAAAACAACGACGTGAATCACGTCGAAAAATTAACGAAAGCCGTTGCTGAAAAGTATTTAAACATATGAATTGCTTATATAAGAAAACAAACGAACACAACAAATTCTAAGAAACACATTTTAAGAAAGATGATACATAATAAGTCAGTAAACCTACTAAAATAATTTAGACTTAACAAAACATTTGACGTTTGTCATAACTATAATTGTATAAAGTCTATAAAAATGTCCTGCTTCTTTTATTTTAATTAAAATTTAAATACCGAAAGCTTACCTCACCTTCATTATCCCTTTATTTCCTTTGTTTTACAGCTTATTTACGATACGCCTTTTCTTTCTCAATCGTTCATCGATATATTTTATCGACTACGATCAAGCACTCGAAATAGAGTAAACTTCTACGAATTTCATATCTGTGTTTATATTAACGTAATAATATCTCCGTGCGCGTTATTCTCCACTTGGTTGAACGAGTTGTCATACATTTGTGTTTTATGTCGGGTCCAGTGGTTATTCGTTCAAGCAAAACACGTATGAACTTGTCCACACACTGCCGTCGCCGTCGCACCGTACACGAGCTCAGTTATTATTTTGTCTGTCATCAATTATCATATAGCATTGTAATAAAAATGGCCAAAAATTTAAATACGATATTTATTAATTAATGGAAGTTATAGAAAGTAAAGAATGTTTGTGGGATATAACCAAGAAAGTGTCCAAAGATAAAATTTTGCGTAGAAATGCATGGCGCGATGTTTGTGCCTTTTTAGAGCTGAATTTTGAGGATATGGACCAGAAAAACAAAGACGAAATTAGTAAGTACACGGTAGTTTATTATTTATGTTTTTAGTTAAGTAATTACAAGTTTAGATTTTGTTCATCTGTCAAGGTAAGGAGCCTTCTGGGCTTACAAAGTATTCAGCAAAATTATTTCTTATGTCATTAGCGGTACGCCCACCACGCGGTACACTTTCTACCCTAGGTACGTCAGTCAGTCCATCGTGCATAATAGACATGAACATAACCTCACCTCTGTAGCCATCTTTTCACGTAAAATATTATGCAAAACGACGCATGCCTTAACTATACTTTTGCTAAGTTTTTGTTTACATTTAGAGGGCGATGAAATATTCGCCATTTATTGGCCATAATGCTAAATGCACATTCAACGTATCTTCGTGCACGACAATGTCTATAGTTATAAATACGTTTTTTCACATCTAAATAATTACCGCCAAAAGGACGTAATAAATGTTCAGTGAGCTAGAAAGCTTCATCGCCTAGTATACATGTAGCATTCTGTTATTTTGAGATGAGTGCAGTGGAACAGGTGGAGGTACACTCAACCTGCCTTCAGTGAGTAGTTGATAGAAGTTTGTACGTTGAAAAATTGCGGAGTCGCAGTCTTTGCCGTATGAACCGATATCAACATATACGAATCTGTAATCTGAATCAACTACTGCCAGAAGTACAATTGATAAATATCCCTTATAATTAAAGTTCATAGTGCCAGATTTCGGAAACTTTTCAATCCATATGTGTTTTCCATCGACGCAACCGATGCAGTTTGGGAAATTAGCTCTTCGTTTAAATCCTTCCGCTATTAATAACCATCGCTCTGTAGTAGGTGCAGTCAAGTGTTCACCACTTAAAATAGTCCATATTTGGTGACATACTTGTGTCACTATTCTGCTTATAGTCTTGATACCCAGTTGAAAGGTATATGACATATAGGTGAAGGTATTTCCACTTGCGAGGTATCTGTAATAAATGTTAATTGTTAAATTTCATTGTTTCAGCAAGTGATGTCATGAACAAGTGGAGTAACATTCGAGACACATTTATAAAGTCCCTTAAGACTAAGTCAGGACAAGCTGCAAAAGTACATGTAAAAAGTACATTTACAGTGATAACCTACAATTTTTACTCAAGACTGTAACACCTGACGAAACTGATTAAAGCATATCAACTCAAAATGATTCTGAAAGTCGTCCCGAAAGCCAACAAATATCACATAGTCACCTCTACCAATCAATACCTTCCCCATCCACATCCACATCTACCACGATTCGAAGGGGAAAGAAAAGGCTAAATGAGGTCGATCCAGAAATATTAAAAGCTATCCAGGCAAATCTCGCTGAATTGGAATCTGAATTAATTGACGATGACCGTGCATTTATGGTATCTCTCCTGCCATCCGTCAAAGAATTGAACGACGATGATAAGTTTGACTTTAGAATCGAAGTTATGCAATTGCTTCGCAGATTTAAAAACCGCAGACGTTTGTCGTGGTCGATCACTGCTACACCTAGCGATCATGGTAGCTTCCACCAACTGATTTCACCCCAGCATGAAACCCAGCAGTTCACATCCCAGCAAGAAATCCAACTGATTTCACCCCAGCATGAAACCCAGCAGTTTACACCTCAGCAACAAATACAATCTATTGGAGAATTATTTTCCCAAGATTTTTCTTAAGTGTAGGTGTGTAAGTTTAATCTAACTACCTGGGCCCTGTTTTATAAAACTACAAGTTACAGGCTACAGGTAAATTACTGGCAACGTTGACGGAATCCGCATTCGTAATTGGTCGAGACTGCGGCATCAATGTCAATTTGCCTGTAGAATTGTAACTTGTAGCTTTATAAAATTGGACCCTGTAATTCATATTATCATATAAGGTGACCTGTCATTCATACTATTATTCAAAATAAATAATAATAATAAATATATTAAAATACAAAAAGTATTACTTCCTACACATCGCCGCAAGTAGAAGACGCATGTGAGTTAGTGACGCAGACTGACATTACCAACTGTACAGACCTTCCCTACACTGACATGCATCTTCTAGTTGCGATGATGGAGTAGTATTTTACTACGTACCTCAACGTTACAGCAAACATTTCAGTTGGTGGTATGCATGTCCTGTAGTTCGTGTTTTGAAGTGTGATGCTGTCCTTAACATGATATAGGATATAATCGAACGTAGTCGTGGACATCCTATAGTAGTTAAAAAACTTCCTGTTATGCTGCCACAACTTGGCGTGGTGTACATAAAATGCCCCTGTGATGTATCGTTCACGTATTAGCGGATGAACCCAAAATTCTTGGCATCCCCTGCGCCTTCGAAGGTACAAAAGCAGTAGAAGAAGTTGTCGCCTGTTTAACCTAGCCATCACTTTATTTCTTCGAAAACGCGACTACCACGCATGCCAGCTGGAACAAACTAAACCAGCGAAATCGGTCGCGGTGGACATACGATCGCCGTCACGTCATATTAAACTCGGTCCGAAATAATCTCGTACTCGGTGACGTGACGGTGACGGCGGCGGTGGACAAACGCCCTTACAGGACTTTCGATACGCTGTAATATCGAAAGTCCATTGTTGAGCATTGGCTACCTCTATAGATTGCTTCATGGGGGAGATATATTTCACATTTGCTACGCTTGACAAGCGGTTAGACAAGCGCAGTTTTTCACGAAGATACTGTTGCCCATCTCCTGGTTTAGTTTCCCTCAACTAACGTGATAATATGGAGGAGTAGATATACAACCACCTCTACACGGCACTGCGATATAGTTTATTTAAATTGCGTATCAGTGGCGTTGTTGAAACTATCGGCCCTTGTATGCAGCACGTGTCGCAAGGAGCGACTGCGGGAAATGCCAGATAGATATAATAGAAATACATCCAACCCGTTTATGCTAACGTAAACTGGTACATCTAAATGCAACATATCCATATCAGCGACGGGTAGCAGTGGTAAAGCATAAGGATTATGGCGTATCTTTCTTACAATAGGCCCGTAATACCTCATTGTAGCATTGTGTGTGACGGCGTTCGCTTAAGGATTATGGCAAATCGGTTTAAGTGAGATGTACCATTGTATTATTGGGTATAACGGCGTTTGTTGTATATTCAAATATTTATCCTACATAGTGTGTACATATAAAGTGTTTAATACATTGACGATTGAGGAGTGTCAACTTGATTTCAAGGGAAAAAGATGTTGTGACGACATTTCCAACGGGTGAATTGCGGTGCCTTAAATGTTGTACGCCATTTTGTCAACACTGTTTTTGTTCTTTGCTTACGTAATGGACTCGTTATAATGGAGGTTGTACTTTTGCCAATGTGAATCAAAGAAATTGTCATAATAAGTGTGTATATTATATAACTCCGGTGTTGCAGTTGTTCATGGGCGGTGGTAGCCTCAGATGCACCGCATGCTCGTTTGCCCCTCCTATGTACAAAAAAGTAGACGCCAAAGTTTATTGTTTCCGGGTTAATATGTTCTTGTTTATTTTAACCATAAACTTAAGTTAAAAATCTCATAAATATAGCTAAGTAATATCGAATATTACTGGCTCTGGTTTAATGGTAGTAATAGGTTTATTAACTTCCGAAAACTCTTACAACTGCTTTCTCAACTGGGTGAAATGTTATGCCGCAATGGCTTTGTAGTTAGTAGTTTGTCCACTATATAAAAATGGCTTTAAGGCAGTTATAAACCAAAACTTCAATAAATCACATAAAATAAGTAATAAAAAAGCACTGGCTTGGTTTGTTACAGGTGTGGGTGCTGCTGACACAGCACACACATACGTCGTCCGTGTCAATGTAAATGTAATTCGCATGAAATACGATAACGACCGCCGCCAGCGGGACGGCAATCTGTAAGTCGGTTAGCTAGAGTACAGTAGGCAGTTCCTTTCTAAGTGTATCATGTGAACATCATCAGCATCTCTGATGGAGAAAATAAATCAACTACAACGTATGTGAACAATTACTTCATTCTCCTCCCTACACAAGCCCCTAAGATACACTAGCCACCTAAACATTCACAACATTGGTGACCCCATGTTAGGACTTGTGTAGGGCGGAATTGATATACAATATGCCGCGAAGCCGAAAATACCACGCTACGATGGCTCAACCAGCGCCAATCACGCCGCCGCTCACACCATCATTCCCACTGGGCGAAATAGCCACCATCGGTCTGGCGTCGCGTACCCCATCATGTTAGACCGACATGCCTAAAATGTGGTTTCTACGCTCCGAGTCAGTAATGGGACCACAACACCAGGGGGAACGGGTCAAGTACGATGTGGTGGTGAGCAAGCTGGGCAAGGAGGAGTTCAGTCAAGTAAGTGATCTCATAAGTAATCCACAGGACCAAGGACGCTACACCGCACTGAAAACCAGGCTCCTCAGAGTTTTTCAAGCCAGCGCTGAGGCCCAGTTTAACAAACTCGTTTGGGGAATGGAAAGCTGATGCTCAGCTGATGAAGAACTCCGGCGCCGAAGGCGACACGATTAAGAATTTGTGGCTAGCGTGACTGTCGGCATGGGTACGCGCGATCTTGGCCACCAACAGAGTAGACACGAAACTTGAGGACCTCCATGAGATGGCCGACAAGATGATGGACAATCTACGCAATGGGGAGCTGTTGGCCGTGGAGGCCGGCTCTGCCCGCAGCTTGTCGTCGACCCCAACCGTAGCAGAGGTGAACGTCGAGCTGCTGACCCAAATGAAGACGATGGCACTGTAGCTCAAGACGCTGCGCAGTGAGGTAAACGAGAGAGAGGTCATAGTAATGGTGGTATGCGATGGGTGCGTAACCGTTCCCGTTCCAGGTACCGTACACCGCAATAGACGCCACGCAGTGAAGACTGGTTGTGCCGGTACTATTTCCAGTACCGCGAGCCGTCACGAGGAAGCAGTCTCCTTGCAATTGTGTAGTGTGTGCTTATATACATATATGTAGGATAGAATAAGAGAGAGTTAGTAATAAACCTACAGTCAAGACCACTAGACGTATTATCATTTATTCCCCGAATCTCCCCACATTACATGGCGACCCTGCCAGGCGGTGCGCTGCTACAATGTAAGCGCACCGCTGGACCTGCATAGAAATTGAAGTAATTTATCGAAGAAGATAAATTAATTATTAAATCAAAATAAATATATAATAACAAAAAGAACATTATACCGGATGTGACACTTAAATTTTTAATTAAGAATATAAGAGGAGACTACACCTTTTTTTTTGAAAAATCGAAGCCTAAAGAAAGAAGAAGAATATACTTAAAGAAAAAATGTTATAGAAGAAATGAAGAAAAGACCTGAAAAATAAATTATACAAGAAGCTCCAGTAACATTGTTATTAAATCAAAAAAGACAAGAGAGAAAATTTCCAAGAAAAAAGATTCCAAGACACAGAAAACACCTTAATCAAAATTCCCTCAAGAGAAGAGTACCAACTTTATCAAAAAGAAATATGAAAGAAAAAAGAGGAAGTCCAAGCCCAACCACATCGAGGAGCTAAGAACATCTTCGAGTGCCAGAGCAGCAGAAAGAAGTGAGGGGTACAACGAGCGACTAGCCAAGATCTGTAGCAGGTACAAGACGTCTCGAAAGCACCGAATGTAAGTTAATTATATTATAATGGTGTCGATGTCTATTGTCAAATTATATTAATACTTATATAATGTTATACACAGAACTGGGGAAAGAAAAATTTTAAGTCTTTCATTAAAAATACGAAAAACATTAGTACTATTAATAGAAAAATTCTAAATTATGTAGGTATTATACCGCAATAATTAATTGGTAAATAACTACTGAATAATGATCATAATAACATTTGTTTTGAAACAATATGGTTGTATTGCAATGGTGTTTAAGTATAATTTACTTCTACATGTTCTACGATAGTAATGTGTATATTTTAAGTAACTATAACAATATTTATCGAAATTTTAACAACATGTAAATTATTCAATATTTTTTAATTGATATGGTAACTTTATAATTAATTATGTAACAGCATCGGAGGAAATGCCAACTTTAGATTATTATAGCTCAATATCATATACTTGGTGTAATCATTAATTTGTCAATCATTATGTTATTATAAATTATAAATGTTACATCCAATTATCATTATTTTTTCTGTTTTTATGTCAAATTTATCAATTCACTATTCCATTAAGAATTAGTAACTTTACCACTACATATGGGTATTTTGGGAAATAATAATTATTTGAGTATAGCTCCGAGGTGCGAGAATTTATTTTATATCAATGCGAGTATGAAAGAAAGAAATGTTCAAAAATGGGAATACGAATGATTGAGTGGTTAAGTATCGTCAATATTGGACTGATCACCCAAATATTTGATGATGCTTATGCTTAAACTAGTAGTATTGAATCCGTTAAGAGTGAGAATTATGAAAGCATGAAAGGAATAAATATAAAAGAAAATAATTGACCTTAATGAATAGGTAATGGGGAGACACGGGAACGTCCATCACTGGTATAACATATAGTCCTCGAGCAGGGTGTGTTTCCGTGGTTGGATGATAAAATCGGGCGCAACGGGTACTAGGGAACAGTACTTTCAGTACAAGTGATGTACACGAGTTTACACATATTAGTACCTACTGTTAGGGACCATAGAAGTCTTAAATTTGTTACCCTTAATAATGGTACATGGAGGTCATATCCTTCATTGGATCACAGTGTGAACTTAGTTTTCCTCCGTGACAATTGTTGGAGTCCTTTTAATGACTTAAACGTAGACCTCAAGGTTGTGCGCACAACCCAACGTACATTTTACCTTGATATAAAAAAAAGTTTATGTACCAATAAAATGAAATGAATGTTACGAAAATGTAATATAATACCCAAATAATTGGAGGGCCCATATTTATAAAGTACCCGCGTGATAAATATCACGAAATAAAATATAAATGAAATGAATTAATACTCCGATTCCCGGTATCTAATAAATAAATAAATATATAAGTGAATAGAGAGAAAGAGAGCTAGCTAAAGGTCAAAAAATATTAAGAAGAAAGAAAGTACGTACAAGAATTATGAAAAATCAAAGTGTGTAGTTATTTTGCATTTCTGTATTAGGACTATTAAGGCTACCCAAAATGCGACTAAGACATGTAATAACTATAGGGATCGATTTACACAACTACGCGAAAATGTGTAGTGTGTGTACGTATTGTGTGCGTTTCACTTTGTATATGAATTTACGAGATATTTTTTTTTCATATTTTAGGTACATTTATTCATATTTACTACAAATCTTGCCCGCCTTATGACTTTTTAATAATAATAAATATTTCGTAAAACAAAATTGAGCTGTGTACCTAGTAGTGTTTTCTTTTTTTATATAAATTTCATGTCATGAAAAAATGAGTTTTCGAAATTGTAAATTACAAAAAATACAAAAACAACTTAATTAAAGATTTTTTGTTAATGTACCTATATAAATTTTGTAATACTTTTACAAAATGAATTTAAAATTGAATGTAACAATCTATATTTAGAGGTACAAACTATTGGGAAATTTAAATTCATTTTATTTATATGTAATATTATTTTAATGCATGGTTAAAACTAGGTACCATTATACAACGTAATCGAAAAAACGTTCCCATGAACATACTTAGAAATTAAAACAAAGGTGTCACAAACCGCTTACACGGCTGAGATTGTAAGTTGTATTTGATCCCTGTTGTTATGTTAATGATTATGATTATGTTGCACTAGGACCGCCGTGAGACAAAACGTGTAACGGTCTAATATATGTAATGCAAAGAAAAGATTCTTTTGACCGGAGTTAGAGACTACATACACAATTAGTAACATCCTACTAATTATGTAAATCGATGTGACACGTGTCAAAACTAAAATAAATATATAAAGGAACCAATGGTTATAACCGATACGAGATATTCCGCTTTGATATAGGTTATTTAGATTCAGTAGGCCGCTAATGTTTATATACTCACACTACAGTGTGATTTAAATAAGTATGCTGAAGTTTATCCACTTAAAAGTAAGGAAACTATTTCCATGGCATTAGCTTATTTTAGATTTGTTAAGATTTAAAATGAATAATATAGTTTAAGTTTAAGAAAATAATAATATTGTAAACAGCCTTATATATGTCTTATAATATTTTTGATAACTATACTTTTATTTAAAACTGGATGTACGGGTTACCGCACATATTTTATGTAATTTTAATTCAATGACTCGTTTATTTAGGTCACGCAGAAACAATGCATTTGTCACTTGCGAAATCATGTAACTTCCGTACTTTTGCCTATACATCAGTTTATAATATTCTTTAAAATAAATTCAGTGTTAGATCGACTTTCATTGGGTTTGTTTCGTACACTAACTTTCCCTTGCATCCCATCTGCACTCATTCATCTTATATACTGTATACATATTACAGTGTTTTTGGTCCTTCGAAAAGACAAGATTACATCTGTGGATTTCCATCGACATTTGGAAAATACAGTGTTTTTGGTCCTTCGAAAAGACAAATCACATCTGTGGATTTCCATCGACATTTGGAAAATACAGTGTTTTTGGTCCTTCGAAAAGACAAATCACATCTGTGGATTTCCATCGACATTTGGAAAATACAGTGTTTTTGGTCCTTCGAAAAGACAAGATCACATCTGTGGATTTCCATCGATATTTGGAAAATACAGTGTTTTTGGTCCTTCGAAAAGACAAGATCACATCTGTGGATTTCCATCGACATTTGGAAAATACAGTGTTTTTGGTCCCTCGAAAAGACAAATCACATCTGTGGATTTCCATCGACATTTGGAAAACACAGTGTTTTTGGTCATTCGAAAAGACAAGATCACATCTGAGGATTTCCATCGACATTTGGAAAATACAGTGTTTTTGGTCCTTCGAAAAGACAAGATCGCATCTGTGGATTTCCATCGACATTTGGAAAATACAGTGTTTTTGGTCCTTCGAAAAGACAAGATCACATCTGTGGATTTCCATCGACATTTGGAAAATACAGTGTTTTTGGTCCCTCGAAAAGACAAATCACATCTGTGGATTTCCATCGACATTTGGAAAATACAGTGTTTTTGGTCCTTCGAAAAGACAAGATCACATCTGTGGATTTCCATCGACATTTGGAAAATACAGTGTTTTTGGTCCTTCGAAAAGACAAGATCACATCTGTGGATTTCCATCGACATTTGGAAAATACAGTGTTTTTGGTCCTTCGAAAAGACAAATCATATCTGTGGATTTCCACCGACATTTGGAAAATACAGTGTTTTTGGTCCTTCGAAAAGACAAGATCACATCTGAGGATTTCCATCGACATTTGGAAAATACAGTGTTTTTGGTCCTTCGAAAAGACAAGATCGCATCTGTGGATTTCCATCGACATTTGGAAAATACAGTGTTTTTGGTCCTTCGAAAAGACAAGAT